ACCCACATGGCAAATAACAGTTGTCCATTAACTCCAGTTCCAGGGAATCTGATGCCCTCTTCTGCCCTCCACAGGCATTGCACAATATGGGTACACTTACATTTAGGCAAAATACTCATATAAAAACATTTTTTAATATATATATTGTTGGGGCTGGAGAGATGGCTCAGCGGTTAAGAACACTAACAGCTGCCCGTAACTCCAGTTCCAGGGGACTCCGACAGCATCTTCTTACCTCCACGGGCATTGCACGACACAGGTGCACTTACCTACACACAGGCAATACACACATACACATAAAAATAAAATTTTAAGAGTTCAAATAAGCCAGGCGTGGTAGCGCACGCCTTTAATCCCAGCACTTGGGAGGCAGAGGCAGGTGGATCTTTGTGAGTTTGAGGCCAGCCTGGTCTACATAGTGAGTTCCAGGACAGCTGGGGCTATAAGGAGACCCTGTCTCAAAAGACAAAAAAAAAAGTTTAAATAAGCTGGGCATGGTGGTGCACACCTTTAATTCCAGCACTCGGGAGGCAGAGGCAGGCAGATTTCTGAGTTCGAAGTCAGCCTGGTCTCCACAGTGAATCCAGGACAGTTGGGGCTACAGGGAGACCCTGGCTCAAAAAAACCAAAAAAATAAATAAAAATAAAAAAGATGTGGTTCAAAGTTTCATTTACGAGGAAATGGGAGGAGCCAGAGAGATGGCTCAGAGGTTAAGAGCACTGGCTGTTCTTGCAGAAAACCCAGGTTCAAATCCCAGCACCCACATGGCAGCTAACAACTGTCCGTAACTCCAGTTCCAGGGAATCCAACAGCCTCTTCTATCCTCCACGAGCATCGCTTGACACAGGTGCACTTACCTACATGCAGGCAATACACGCATACACATAAAAATATTTTTTAAAAAAGAGGAAACGGGAAACTGGTAACAGTGCACTATAATGGACTGTAAGGCTGGAGGTATAGTTCAGTGCTAGACCCTGTGCCTAGCATGCACAATTGCTAAATGGATCCTAATCAAGTACCCTACCACTGAGCTACACCCAGTCCCTGAGTAGATTCTAAATGCTCTCATCACCAAACTTCGTAAAAGATGCTAACTAGCCAATTTAGTCATCACATGTTCATATATGGAAACATCACTGTACCCCATAAGCATGTACCACTGCCAATTAAAAATAAAACTTTCAGGCTGGGCATGGTAGCTCACTAGTATCATCCCGCAAAGGATGAGGCAGGAGGACTGCCACAAGTTAAAAGGATATCTTGACCTACATACTGAGTTCCAGGTGGGACTAGACTACAAGTTAATACCTTGAAGAATTTAAAAAAAAAAAAAAGGGGGGGGGTAATGAACACCAGTAGTACCAGCACTTAGGAGGTAGGTAAAAGAAGAACCAGGAGCTGGATTTTCATCCTCAGCTACAATGTGGAGTTCAAGGTCAGCCTGAGCTACACATCAGACTGTTTCAAAAACTAAATCAATAAACCTGTTAAGTCAGGTGTGGTGTTTCAGCCCAGAAATCCTGGCACTTGGAGGGCTGAGAGAACTGCCAGGAGTTTGAGGCCAACCTAGGTTATTTGATGAATTTCAAACTACTTGGGCTACATAACAAGGCCCCATCTCAAATGATTTTTTTTTAAGGACTGTCAAATCTCAAATGCTAGACTTCAGAACTCTTGGTATATCTACCCATTACTAACTGAACTTCAGCCCCATATCCAAGATACTAAAATAGGTCTGAGGAGGTGATGGGGGTAACACATTAGCTCAAGTGGCTAACCAAGAACTACAGGCAAACACACAAAATGTATTTTTTCTCACCCACAAACCTAATTTCTCCTTAAGTTCTCCCTAATTTTGTCACAATTATCTGCTACTCCAATAAACTGTTGGCTGACAGCTGCTTTGAGTCTGGCCAATCTGAGAAACCTTGAGAATGTGCTTGGTTGCAGGAATATGTTCATGTGCCTCTCTATGCATACACGCAAGCCAATGTGTGCAAGGGTGTAAATACGAGCAACAGCTGTATGCATGCATGTTCAAGAGCAAATCTTCACCAGTGTTCCATGTGTTTATAAACATGAGCCCATTTATCGTAAATAAAAATAAAATAAAAACATATATGGAGCAGTGAGAATGGTAAAAGCACTTACTGCCACATTTGACCTCAGTTCTATCCTGGGACCCCCATGATGGAAAGAACACCCAGAAGTTGTCTTCTGACTTCCACACTTGTGCCCTAGCATGCGCACAACCACATACCCACACAGATATACACAGAGACTAATTTTTAAAAATTCTTTGAGACACGATCTATGCAGCCCTGGCTGGTCTTGAACTCACAAAGATGTGACTGCCTCTGCTAGGATTAAAGGCTTATTCCAGTCCAACACACACACACACACACACACACACAACTTTTTTTTAAGGTAAGACTATGCTTGAAGTGTACTTCAGTGGTAGAACACTCATAAGTCCTGGGTCCCAATCACAAGCACCTACAATTAAAAGGGTTAACTGTTTCTAGCATTTCAGTAAAACATCTGAAATATAAAGAACTAGGCAGGCCTGTAATTCCAGCCATTCATGTGGGAATGACAAAGACAAATCACAAATCCAAGGCCCACCTGGGATACAAAGTGACTCCACCAGTCTGGGCAACTTAGTAAGTCCGTTTCAAAGTAAACCAGAGTGCAGAGCAACTAAACTAGAGATCAAGGCCAGCTGAATCAGCTGCAGAGAAACCCTCTTTCTCCGCCCCCCAAAATAGTAAATCCGGTTGGGGATACTGGCAACAAAATGTAGGTTCAATCCCTAGGATTGAAGGGGGAAAAGTCGTCAAAGAATTAGTCTAAAATTCTTATCAGGTAAGAGACACAACAGGTTGTTACTGACCTAGTTGTTATTAGGGACAAAGAGAGAACCTAAGGTCCAAACCCCACTAGATCTCACAATCTTGTCACTAATGGTGACCTGGTACCAAAACCAGTTGTCTTTACCCATTTTCCTGGAAAACCTCTGCCTCCCTCCCCGCCATAATTCAAACTGGACCTAAGTACTAGCAATCTTAAGGACCAGTTATTCCGTCTTATAAAAAGTAACCACAACCCAACTATGAAAACCCTAGTAGTGAAGGAGCAACAGTAAATACTCATTAGGCTTCTCAAAGCAAATTAACACACCTCAAGTAACAGCAGAAGCAGAAGCAGATAACTGAGAGAAGGTTCATCATATGTGCATTGGTTACATTACAACTGGGAGAATTCAGAGGACTGAACCTACTCTTAAAGCAGTCCTACTCCCAGACAAGCAAGCAGCTGACCCTTTAACAAAGCCATGGTCTCCTGCCTAGCCAGATTTGAGGATGAAGTAACACTTCTCTCCAAGGAATAAACTTCAACATAAGATGAGGTGGTAGGTATATCAGTGGCAGAGAACACGCCTAGAGCGCACAAGGCCGAGTTCAATCTCCAAAACCGTAAGAGAAAAAAGTACAAGAAGGCACTTCCCAACTACAGGTCTCAGCACAAGGTAAGCTTCTGATGACACAGGTCTTCCAAACTTAATCAGGTGCCACAATCAAACCCTCCTTTGTGCTGAGCAACATGGTGCCTGCATGGTATCTAAGCACTGGAAAAACTGAAAAAAGATTGGTACAATTTCAAGGCCACCCTGGGGTACAATAGCTCTACCAAGGATAAATAGGAGCAAGACCATCAAAACAGCCTTCTACAGTAGGGCTATGGATCAATGAGCAGTTGTAATAGGTAAGACAGAGCTGGAGCCCCGGTACAATCAAAACCCCCAAATCATCTTTGTTTTGGGTTTGGTTTTTTTTTGGGGGGGGGGGTCTTTTTGAGACAGGGTTTCCCTGTAGCCCAGATGGCTTGGAACTCACTAGGCAGACCAGGCTGGCCTCAAACTCAAGAAATTCACCTGCCTTTGCCTCCCAAGTGCTAGGATTAAACTCATGCACAAGGCCGACAAGATCTCATGTTTTAAGTTTACCATTCCCTATTACTATGGGTCATAGGATAGACAAACACGCTGGCTATACTTTTTCTTCTGGCCTTTTTCTGGAGGGAGAAGGGAGCTTTTCCAGACATGTATCCCAGACTGGTCTTGAACTCCTGATCCTCCTCAGTCTCAACAAGATACTGGGATTACAGGTACCCAAAGAACCATGCAAGGTCTCAATATGGCCCAGAGGGCATTCAAGCTAAAAATCTTAACTTCCCAGGGCCAAGATTACCAACAAAATGTGTGCCTAATCTTCATGCCTATTTACTAAAATGTATATTCAACAGTGTCAGACACGGACAGGTCAATAACCAGCACGAATGAAATTCTCTTTAGAAGTATATGCTAAGTGATTGGGGAGTACATGGTCTTAAAATGAGTCCACCCTTGTCCCTATATCGCTCAACACTTACAAAGGAGAGCTAGATAAGGTGGCACACACCTTTAAACACTGCACTCAGAAGGCAGAAGCAGGCAGTTCTCTTTGTTAGGAAGTTCCAGGCTAACCAGGGCTACACACAGTGAGACCTCCATCTCAAGAAGTTTCCAGCCAGCTGGGCTTAATACCATAGTCCTATAATCCTAGCTGACTGAACTTAATTCAAGGCATCAAATTTCAAAATACCAATGGCCTTAAACCCTCTATATTAGGCAGAATATCTATGATCCATCTAGACCCATCCACTGTTTAGATCCTGTGTGTGTATATATATCCACACGTAAGTGCATACATACACACACATACCCCTAAGGTCCTTTCCAGTCTCTCCCCTCTCCTAGAAACCCACTCTCTCAAGATTACCACTTACCCTTTTCTCACTTTATTCTACTTCCTGCTGGGCAGGAATAAACCATTCCAATTGATCTGGCAGGAACAAACCATTCCAGGTTGATCTCCAAGAGGAACAATCCCCACATTTCTCACACATACACCAATCCTCCAAGAAAGTAAGGAAATGGGGGAGGGAAGGAACAAAATTTAACTAAAATGATGGTTTTTAATGGGAACCAGAGGTATGGTTACAATTACTGTAATCTGACACACAAAAAAAAAAAATCCATGGGCAATCAGGAATTGGAAGATTACAAAATAACAAGGATAACACTGGATATAGGAAGAAAAGCTGTTCCAGAACTTCAGGAGCCAGACTAATACGGCCTCTCCCTGCGATCCTGTCTGTGCTCACCCCTGCCAAAAAAAAAAGTATCAGTTAGATTTGAGTTACTAGCCTATCTAACCCATGCACACACCCCTCAGATATCCTTCTTGCAATCTACCAACAAATGACTTCACTAAGCAGGGCAGGATCTTAAGACTGGTTTCTCTCATCTCCCATTCTCAGTAACATACCCCTCAGCTCCATCCATTCTTTCCAAAGAAACCACTCTAAACAAAACTATTGCTTCCTGACTTCTGATCAGTTTCTCATTTTGATTCAGAGACTTACCTTGAGTCCATCTTGCCAGGGCCAAAGCCACCTCTGTCCCCACCTCCCCGGCCCCCTCGGAAGCCCCCGCGGTCCCCGCCTCGGCCTCGGTAGCCGCCCCGATCGTATCCTCCTCTGCCACGTCGATCATCTCCATAGTTACCCCCTAGGACAAAAAAAATAGGATGTATCCTGATCTTTCTAACCTTCCATCCCTCTCCCCGCCCGAATCAAAAACAAAGGGTTCATTTTGGTCCTTGATACCAGTTCTGCTTCCTTCTTACCCATATGAGAGCCTCCTGGTCCCCCTCCTGGGCCATCTGGTTTAGGGGCCTTACACTGGTTGCATTCATTTCTCCAAGAGAAGTTCATGTTCTCACATGTCCTAAGGAAATGAAAGGCAATTTATAAGGAAATGAAAGGCAATTTATAGTAAGAGTCAAAACCCAGAATTATGACTGTAGGCTTGCTACTCAGGAATAGAGAACCAGAATCCCCCACCCCCAAAACAGGGTCATTACTAAACCTAGTTCATTATCTTTCCCCACTGCAGCAGTCCTCCCTTTCCATAGTCTGCTAGTCTCAACCAATTTAAAAAACACCAAATTTTGGTTTTAAATTCACATTTAAATCTTTGCCTTACTCCATTATGCCTACAAATGAATCACCACCCTTTTTGTTCAACACATCCATGCTACCTACATACACTGCCCTACCCACTTAGTATCTCAGCTATAGGTCTATCATCTTGGTATTCAGCAGTTCCATTCAAATACATAGGATTAGAGTGCTATACAACTTTCTGGGCATTCACTCGTATCTTGGAAAGATGAACATGCCCTGGTAGGGAGGACCTCTAGACATCAACCTTGTGTAAACTCAACCAACTATCAAGGGATTCTTTCCATCAATAGTGTAGTTTTTACATTCATTATTTTAGAAAATGTCATCTTCAACATAAGCACAAAGGTCATACAAAAAAGAACTTAAGTTCACTTACGGATTAGGACACTTCCAGTCCCCAGCTCGCTGTTGTCCGCCACCACCTCCTCCTCCACTGGGGAATCCTCCACGGCCGCCACCACCACTGCCTCCTCCTCCATAGCCTCCACGGCCCATGGGTCCTAGGTACAGATGAAGTATGAATCTATTTCCCTTAGTTTGGTTGGCCTACCTGTTCCATGTAATCTCTTGTCATCTTCTGCACTGTCCCATGATCTCTTTAAATCCAGCATATTAAGTAAATCACTCACCTCCTCGCCCTCGGCCTCCACGACCATTTCCACCACCCCGATTGAAGTCTGCTCGGCGTGTAGCAAATGAGACCTTGATAGGATTCCCAGAGAATTCTTTACCTAAAGAAATAAAGAGGGGGCGGAAATCAACTGAAAGTGAAACAAGTATGAAAACCCCATACGGGAATCTATTGAGTTGTAAGCTTTAAAAAAAAAAAAATCAAAAAACAAGACAAAAGCTTTCAGAGTTGAGGATGTGGGGTCCACTGGTAGACTGGTATGAGAGGTCCTAGGTTGGATCTCTAGCACCATACAAAAAAGGGCCATCAGGGTGGCTCTGTGGTTGAAGACACGTGCGGCCAAACATCATCTGAGTTCAAATCCTGGGAGCAAGTTGTCTACTGACTTCAAAGCCCGTGCCACGGCACTCACCTACACACACAGAAATAACCTTTAAAAAAACAAAGCCCGGTGTCATGGTGCATGCCTTTAAATCCCAGCACCTGGGAGCAGCTGATGGATCTCTGTGAGACCAGCCTGTTTTAGCATACCTGTGGAAGCAGTTGGAAACCACCATGGAGTTTCTGGAACTGGGGGGACCAAACCCAGATCCTCACCACTGAACCATCTCTCTGGTTTCCCCAAAACAAAATCTAAAGGCTGCCTTCTTGAAAAGATCAATTAATGAAATATGAACAAAAACAAAAATATGAAATTACAGATAAAATAAGTGCCAGTGCGCATGAGATGTAAAGTTTCTTCCTGTGAAGTCTAAGGACCTGACCCACATGGTAGGAAACCCAAATCCTACAAGTTATCCTCTAAACTCCGGGCACGCGTGCACATACACACAAATGCCATTAAGACTCAACAAATCAAGTTGCACCAGAACAAGTTTGGATGGCCAGTCTGCGGATTCCCCAACCTCAGGGATCAAGGCACGTCGCTATGGACTGAGGATCAGTGGGAGGGCCCAGGGGGATATGGGGGAGCAGTTGACAGCATGGGTTAGATAAAGAGACACAGCCAGAGACCCTCCACCTTCTCTTTGGACCCAGGACCCTCTTGGGAACGGCTCTGAGACTGCATACCACAGGCACTCCAGAGGTGCCCGGCTAGAGGACAGGGCTGAAGAGGGTACCCATACCTCCCTTTGACCCACCTCTGGCCCTGAGGAACCCTGGGTTGAGAGGGAACACAACCCACCATGTCCTCCACCCACTGTGGAGTGGTGGTGGCAGAGCAGGCCACACAGCATCCTCAGTCCTGGCCAGCTGTGACATCCCCCTCCTTTCCTGACCCCCTTTCTGAAGGGTTCTCCAGCCCTGCCCCTCCTCCTTTCCTCAGACCCCAAGCTGGAACCTTTTCTTTCTTTTTTAGTATGTCTCTCCTATCTTCAGATCATTCTGATCATTTATATTAACAATTGTAAATTATAATTTTTTATTTTATTTTTAAAGAATTTCTGCAAAAGAAATCTATTTAATTTGAAGTTGATGATCTATCTGATGGCTGGAGATAGTAGCCTTCCTTTTTTTTTGCTGTTGACTTGTTTCATTTGGAATTTTTATTCTTTCTTTTTTTCTTCCATCCCTGTCTTGAGATTTTCTGGAGGTTTCAAAGGAGATAAATGTTTCATAGAAATAAAAAAAAAAAAAAAAGACTTAACTCTCAAAAATGGAGCCTTTTCCTACTGCTAATGGCCCTATGTCCAGCTTTCTCATACATACCGTCAAACCAGTCAATAGCTGCTTTAGCAGAAGGTGGGTCATCAAATGAGACTGTTGCCTCACCCTTCAGCTTGCCAGTTTCCCTGTCTGTGTACAAATTAATCATGGGCTGTCCGGTTTTCTTATTTGTCTGAACAAAACAAAATGAATTATCAATTTCTAGAGGTTACAATGCAGTTGTTGGCCCAGTATTTGTATATAACATACCCACAACTTTGTACTCTCTAAATAATCCCCTAGAGGCTATGAATGTAGCTAGTAGGTACAACACTGTCCTAGCAACCACAAGGGCACACAGCTCCACACAGCTCAATCTCTAGCACAGCAAGAGAACTCTAAATTACTCACAATCTCTAATACAGAATAAATGTTAAGCAGTATTATACTGTACTATTTTAAGGAATGACAGTCTAGACAAGTTCAGTACAAACTTTTTTTCTTTTTGGCCTTTTTGTTTGTTTGGTCTTTTTGAGACAGGGTCTCCCTGTAGCCACCTGCCTCTGCCTCCCAAGTGCTGGGATTAAAGGCATGCACCACCACGCCCGGCTCTTTTTGACCTTTTTGAGACAGGGTCTCCCTGTAGCCCTGCTGGCTGGAACTATGTAGACCAAGCTGACCTCAATCTCAGAGATCCGCCTGCCTCTGCCTCCCTAGTGCTAGGACTAAAGACCACCACGCCTGGCTCGATTATTCTTTTTGTGATTTCCCCTAGAAATACCAACAGCTAATATTCTTTGCTCAATAAAATGAACAGGGAACAACCAGGCATAGAGATGTGCCCTTGTAATCCCAGCACAACTGTATTTTGTTCAGCAATTTATGTGTGCATTTAAAAAGAGGAATTCAACAGATTGCTATGCAGGATTACACCTTCTGTGTCAGCCTTGACTACACAGGAAGACCCTTTTATTTCTGACAATCATTAATGTGTGAAATCTCGAAGCCTGCAATTCAGGTACAAAGCACCCATTTTACGCCACAGGTACCTTGATAATTCCAATCTGCTTGAAGTAATCAGCCACAGATTCAATTGTAACATTTTCGCCCAGGCCTTGCACAAAGATGGTGTTGTTATCTGAATTATCCTGCTCTGCTTGTTGGATACAAGACCAAAGGAAGATGTGAAGAGCAAAAGAAAAACAAAGGTTAAAAACACAAGTATACCAAGTATATAACTACTTGAAATTAAAGCTTTAAGGGGAAATTCTGAGGCTATCAGTCATGTAACTATGCCATTTTAATTAAGACTATCCTCCAAAAATTCTTTCCTATTTTAGTACTCGAATATTCATATACCAGCCATTCACAAATTTTAGGTTTACAACTTATGTTTCAAACATATTGAAAACTAATCTAAAAACCAATGCTCAGTATTTATTTGCCAAAGATCACACAAAGTATATTCCAGTTTCCCAACTTCTAAAGACTTAGTAAGAAACCTAGCCGGGGCAGGGTGGCGCATGCCTTTAATCCCAGCACTTGGGAGGCAGATGCAGGCGGATCTCTAAATTCAAGGCCAGCATGGTCTACATAGCGACAGCTGGGGCTACAGGGAGACGGTCTCAAAAAGACCAAAAAAAAAGAAAAAAAGAAACCTAGTATACCAACAGGAATATAATCAAACAAAAGACACGCTGCTGGGTGAGGTGGCACACACCTTTAGCCAGTTTGATACGTCTACATGTGTGGGTCTACGGACCACCTTTAAAAAAAATGAAGGGTACTCTGTGAGTTGAACTTTAAAAAAAATTTTTTGAGGTAGTCTCAAGTTAGCCAGGCTGGCCTGAAATGCTACATATTCGAGGATGGTATTGAACTTCTGATCCTCCTGCCTCTATTTTCTGAGTGCTGAGTGAGTTTAGGCATGTAACACCGAAAGAGGTGAAACCCTGTCTCAAAAACTACAACGACAACAACAACAACAAAAAAAAAAACAATTAAGGCTTCCTTTTCTACATCATATAATCACATTTTTTTTTGGTCTTTTTGGGGACAGGGTCTCCCTGTAGCTCCAGCTGGCCTGAAACTCGCTATGTAGACCAGGCTAGCCTTGAACTCAGAGATCCACCTGCCTCTGCCTCCAAGTACTGGGACTAAAGGCATGAGTACTGGGACCAAAGGCCCACCATGCAATCAGGGTTTCTGTCCACTGCATTTTGTTCAGCAATTTTAACTATATGCATAACAAATTTAAAAAAAAAAAAACACTACTTTTTTAAAAAAGCAGTTCTGAAGTATGGTCCCTAGACCCTGTTGCATCACCTGGGACTTATAAAAAAAATTCAGTTATCAGACTCACCCATCATCTCCGCTGGAAAGGAACTCATTTAGCAAATATTTCTGATACATACTCACTTATAGACCATTACTAAGTGCATCCCCCTCCCTTCTCTACCACTGCTTTTTCATCATTGCTCATCCAGATACAGTCTAGATACCACCTTAACCCTTTCATGAAAACAATGGACTTACCGGAATCATGACGTGATCCCTGATCCCGGGGGCCTTAGTGACATAAAAAAAAAAGAACAAAAACAAAAACAAAGAGAAGGAGCCATTAGTCAACAAGAAAAGGACATAGAAGGAAACAAATTAACACCATATTCAAATTCTTGCAAAATATCAGGTTAAGTGCTCTCAGCCTCGCTCCAAACCCTATCCTGGGGACCGCCCAGAGAAAATCCTAGGCGGGTATCAAGGCGACACAGGCCCCTTTCTTAAGATGTTACTTTGCGCCCCCATGGTGACAACTCCACACTGCCAAGAAAATGCTGCCTCCCCCAGCTAGGGCTGGGAAACGTCCACAGCACAGATGGGGGTGGGGGCGGTAATGACCCATTTAAATTAACCAACCAACTCATACATAACTTGGCCCTGTTCTCTCACCAGAGAGACATGGGCTCACCACCAGCAATGTGATGTGCATCCATCCAGTTTCTCCAAACTTTTAACACCAAAGACAACCCTTGTAGAACAATTTTTAATTTCGTCTTTAGAAACCACTCTTAACCATGTTAAGTTTCCCCAAAGCCACATGAAAATAAGAAACATACATAATAGCTATTGTATTTTTAAATCATGTCCCAGAGAACAGACCAGAAATCTTATTTCCATAATGCAGCCTCTATTTTCCAGAGACCATCTTTATCCAATGTTTATCTAAATTCGTCATATATAAACACTGTACCTATACACAATGACACCTAAGTCATGAACCCAAGCCTTTGGCTTTAAGTGTTGAGACAAATCAAGAAACCGTTTTGTTAAACAAACCAGAAAAGTTCCAGCTTACTGGGAGACTTCTCAAATTTGCCATTTTTCCATGAATTCAGTTTGTGCTGTTTAAAACCTGGTTATTTCCCACGAGCCACACATGCTCCCAAGCTTGCTTTCTTGAAGTAGTCCACACCTTCCTTCCCAGATCTATTTTCTATTTGCTTGTCTGAGTACATATGTAGAATTGCATTGACACCACTCATTATTTAAAATATATACCACCTTCACCATCCTCAGGGCAGGGCAATATTTCATGTCCCTTTCCCAGGATTAAAACACTTGGAGGTTGTTACATACACATACATACACACTAGCCTTAGACACACTGATCAAAAGGATCCTAAAGCCGAATTGGCACCACATGTTCCAGCACACTCTCCAGTTGCTCATGATGGTGGTCACTAAGTGTAGATAGATGTGGCAATACCCATCAAGAGGCCTACTAAATACTTCTATTAACTTGGATCAAACCAATTTAGTAGAAGACTGCCAAGAGCTTATTACCCCTGCCTGCCTCCAGGTTAGCACACATCTGGCAGCAGGGGCATTCTACCCCACCCCCTTCTGGAGGTGGTTACAGACACTGCAGGACACTTTAGAAATCTTTGACACTTAACACACTAAGACATCTGCAAATGAACAATCAGACAAAGCATTGCTGGGAGTTGGGAATTTTGGAAACTCTGTTTCACTTACCACCAAATTTATTGAAGCCACCACGGTCACTTCCGCTGGAGAAGACAAGTTAGAAGAAAGGACATGAAGCTTCCAACGGCTACAAAAGGGTTTTGTTTTTGGTTTTTGGTTTTTTTGTTTTAACATTTCCCAAACAAGGGTTGGTGTTTTGGGAAAAAGATACAAGTAGTTACTAAAATATATCCCTTCCTGACCACCCCTTGTCTGACCTTTGAGCTTATCACACACATGTGTGCAATTTCTCAGACACAGTTAAATTTCCTTTAAAAGGTTATATATCTATATCCTCTGGAAAAAAAAAAAAAAAAACAAAAAAACTCATTTTCCTTGGTTGGTCTTCAGACGTAGCAGATGTTTTTTTCCTCTTGTTGCAAGTGGTGAACAACCCAGTAGTTGGTTTAAAAGCTCTACCCCCAATTACCCAGAAGACATTTCACACCAGGCCCCTGGGGTAGCCCTGAACACATTTTTTGTGGTTTTTGCTTTGAAAGCAGCAAGCAGACCCAATCCCATTCCATAAAAAGTCATAACCAAAGGCAAGTTTCCCTTAGAGCAAAACAACCTTAGCTAAGCCCTATCCTAACTACTGAGCTGTTTTTGATCACCCTCCACCCCCGGGGTCACCCCTTCTACACTGTGAGAAGAGCGGAGTATTTTGCAATGTCACCTTTCATACCTGTGGCACATAAAATGCAGAGCAAGTTAACAGTCACATAACAGTTGTTTTTCTTTTTAAAGTTTTGCAATAAACACACGCACACAACAGAGTTTTCCAGATTTTTGCATGTTTTTTGAGACTGCCCCCACCCACCTCTGAATACTTACCATGTACAAACTCAAAAAAACTACTTTTAAAAAAAAGGGAACACCACTAACACTCCTCCCCATTTCAAGGGAGACAACAGGGTACTTCAAAGTTACCAACAGATTTGACCAATTGTTTTAACATCAAATCTAAGGTTTTACTTGACCAAGGAGAGATCCAGCTGGACAAGCTGATGATTTACCTAACCAAGAAAAGACGGACAGTGGCACAATTAAGTGGAATACCACTGTCAAGCATACTTTGCCCCAAAGGTCTGCACACTTCAGAAAACCCCATAAACCAAGTCACACAGAGAATCAGTCAAATGAGTGCAAATCAAGCTCATGGATTCAACTCCAGAATATGGGAAGAATAAGAAGCCAATTCCTAGAAGTTGAAGTCAAGTTAGCCATTACCAACTCCCTTGGAGGACACGTGGGAATACACAGAACAAGATTCCCTAATATTTCCCAGGAGTGGGATCAGTTTCCCTTCCAGAAAGTCCTACTTCCAAGTTTCTTGCCTAGGATGTCAATGACTCCAATCCATACATGTGAATATTTGGAAATCAATGTACCAATACTCAAATCCCTACTCAGGTATAGATAGGAATTTAGGCTCCCAAGTTCTGACAAAAACGTAACAGGAATGTACAAAGATAACAGTCACTGCCCACAAATTAAAGCCCTTACAGAACCCCAGTGAATAATACTAGTCATGCACTAGGGACAACTTTGGGGTAGATTCATGCAACACCCCCACCCACTGAAGGTACCCCCTGGCTCACAAGACACCTACCCCATGCCGCCTCTGCCTCCACGGCCACCTCCACGACCTCTGGGTTCATAGCCACCACCGCTGCGGTTATAACCACCTCCACCGCCCCTGCCACGGCCCCCACGGTCCTGCTGGCCTCCCCCGTAGCCACCACCGCTGCCACCACTCTGGTCCTGATTGCCATAACCACCAGTGCTGCCACCACTCATGGAGGACTGATCTTGGCCATAACTGCCTATAAGAAAAGAAAATACTTTGAGAAAAGGGAGGGGGGGACACATGCGTAACACTTGGGATGTGCTTAGCACATACAATTCCTGAAGGTCAATTCTTAACAGCAAATGCAGAACGATACAAAGCAGCATGACAACAGTCAACAAAATAAAAGACAACAGGAATTAGGAGACCTAGTAAACAAAAAAGGACTATTTTAGAATACAGGCCAAACCCTTATAGAAAATAAAGTGACAAAAGTAAAGCTGTTTTCTTACCTCCACCCCCTCCACCTCCACTGCTACTGTTATACTGGTTCTGCTGTCCATAGCCCTGAGGGGGATTATAGGAGCTCTGTTGCTGTCCATAGCTCTGTTGCTGTCCACCATAGCTTGACTGTTGGCCATAGCCTCCACTCTGGGGCTGCCCATAGCTGCTGCTCTGAGAGCTCCCACTGTAACTAAGTGGAAAGGAAAAAAATAAATAAACAGAATTGTAATCCCTAAATGCCCAAATACTCTCTCTCACTCTCACTCTCTGAGCTTATCCCTTGTCTTACCCAACAGCGACCCAACAATTTACCCCAACAGGGGATTACTTCATCCCCAGGCCACCTTACCTTCCTGAAGTGCTGCTAGGAGCTGGTTGTTGGCCATAGCCAGGATAGGAGGACTGTTGTCCATAAGAAGATTGGGAACTTTGGCTACTGCCATAGCCTCCAGCGGAACCATATCCCTGGGGAGTCGACTGAGTGCCATAGCCTGCTACAAAGAAAACAGTGGTAAAATCTTCAAAAAGCCAGTAGTGGTATACACCTCTAATTCCAGAGTCAGAGGTACGAGGATCTGAGTTTTCAAGCCAGCCTGATCTACATAGTGAGTTCCAGGTTAGCCAGAGCTACACAGCAAGACTCAGTCTCTCAAAAAAGAGGGGAGGTGGGGATGACAAGAGCGTTTGCTTAGCATGCACAGAGTCCTGGATTGGATCTGCTTCACCATATAAAACCAAATGTGATACATGCGCATAATCTCAGCAACTCAGGAGGTAGAGGCAAGAGGATTAGAAAATTCAGGGCCATTCTGGATACATAACCTGTTTCAGGGCAGCATGGCCCACTTGAGATACCATTTCAAGTAAAAATTTTTCGGTGTTTTTTGAAACAGGTCTTTACACAGACACACAAACATATACACATAAAAATTCTTTTTTTTTTAATTTATTTTTAATTTTTGTATGAGTGTATTGCCTACATGTGTGACCAGAAGGGGGCTTCAGAAACCCTGGAACTGGAATTGTTGGCCACCATGTGTGGGTACTGGGATCAAACCCCGTTTTCTGCAAGAATACCAGTGTTCTTAATTGCCAAGCCATCCCTCCAGCCTCCATTTGATTTTTTGATTGCATCTCATGTACCCCAGGCTGCCTCAACTCCCTGTGCAAATGAAGATAACCACCGTGATCGTTCAGCCTCCACTTCCCAAGTGCTAAGACTACAGGAGTGCTTCACATCCTCTTCAACTTCACTCCAACTTTATTCTTTGGTACAGTTCCAATTTCATTCTTCCTGTCCCAAATCCAGTCTTTCGTACCACTGATCATAACCCAAAAGACCCTGTGCTGGTATGTATACAGTATGACAACCCGTATTATTAGCACTTACGGGTCTGAAGGCAAACTCCATCTCTTTTTGAACTACATGATCTATCCACCTGACTTCAAAAATTTTCAAGCAAATCATTTCCCCCCATCATCCTAAAACTGGTTCTCTTTAGGGAACATGTGCTCTCTAATGCAAAGAAGGAAAATGGTCAAAAAAAATTCAACATAAGCGGGTGTGGGGGCACACGCCTTTAAGCCCAGCACTTAGGAGGCAGAAGGATCTCTGTGAGTTCAAGGCCAGCCTGGTCTACACAGTGAGTTCCAGGACATCTGGGGCTACAGGGAGACCCTGTCTCAAAATGATCAGAGAAAAAAAAAAAAAAATCAACATAAACAGAAAAGTTCAAAGAAAATAAAAGGAGAAGATACAATCAATAAATATTTTGTTTGGAAAGATGGACTACAAAGTTTTAACAATTACAGATGGAGAGGAAATGGAAACTTCTGTACTGTTCAGGTTTAAGAAAAGCCAACATTCAGAAAAAGAAGATGAAATTAAGGTGATCAACTAAGGGACTCACTGTTCTGGGTCTGTCCATAAGAAGAACCATAGCTGCTCTGGCCATACCCTGAAGTGTCAGTTGACTGGCCATATCCACTGTAACTCTGCTGTCCATAGGGCTGATTGCTCTGTTGGGAGTAACCCTGCCCAGGCTGGGTAGGGTAGGCCCCATAGCTAGGAGAGGGGGAAACAGGGCAATCAGTAAGTTACTTTAGACAGCAAGGACAAAAAATAAGAAACAACAACAAAAAAGTAACTAAAATTACTATTACCTCCCTTTCCCCCTCTACAAACTCCATCCTAGAAATGCCACTCACCTTTGAGTTGCTTGTTGGGTATAGTCTGTAAAAGGAAAAAAGAAAAAAAGTCATGTTAATTTTAGTGAAGAATGGCAAAGAAATTAAGTACTAGGCCCTCCAGATCAAATAAATCTACATATATTCATTGCAAAAAAAAAAAGCACAAAAATTCCCTGTACTACTTCAGTTGAGATGGATGGGCAGTACTATAATTTTAGTATAGTAAGGAAGAGAGCACAAATTCCTGGAGACCTGTAAGTCTTCGGTTTGTTTGGTTCTGCCCTGCTGGGAGAGAAGCCAGGGCTTGGATAATGCTGAGCTAGGCACCTCAGCACGCCTTTAATCCCAGCACCTGGGAGGCAGAGGAAGGCAGATCTCCATGGGATCAAGACCAGCCTGGTCTACATAGTGACTTCCAGGCCAGATGGGACTAGTGAGTGAGACACAGTCTCAAAAAAAGATACCACTGAGCCCAACTGATTACTGGAAAAAACCAAGAGTTCTTTCTGTGGGTAATTCCAATCTCTGCAAACTCAATTCATGTTAGGGACTGTCACTGCAGGGCAGCCTTAAACTTAAGATCTTCCTGTGCCAGCCTCTCCAGGCCTGCAACAACACACACTGGTTGCTTACACATTTCATTTTCACACCAGCCAAGATTTAGAACTTGCGAAGTCATAGAGCTATTAGAGTTCAAGTCCAAGGAAGCTATTCAAATGTGTCACTCAATACCAGATCCAAACAAGAAATGTCTTTTAAAACGTCATTTTTCACCTTCTGACCAACCTAGGACACCTTAAGGCAAGGCCAAGCAACCAAGGCAACAACGCCCTTTGACCCCAAAAGGGAGACAGTCCTGGCCTTGAGGCCAGACCCGTGGCTCCCGATGATTTTCTTATTTTTTTGAGACAGGGTCTCCCTGTAGTGGGGCTGACCTGGAATTCACTATGTAGACCAGGTTGACCTTAACTTACAGATTCGCCTGCCTCTGCCTTCTGAATGCTGGGATTAAAGGCCTGTGCCACCTCCCCGGCCGACTCTACTTCATCTCATCGACCTCGCCCGGTTCAGCGAGCGAGAAGCAGAAAGCACTTCTAGCATTTTGCAGGAAAGGGCCAGTAGCAGATTCGACTCAGTGCACAAGGCAAAATGACAGCGAGCGGGCGTGGCTTCGGAAGGCCATTCCTCAGACTTCCTACCTCAAAAAAGCTAAATTCAGAGGCGGGAAACCCTCCGGCCGGGTCCCGGGCAGAGGTCAACCTTCCCGCGGTCGCTCCCTCAGCCCTGCGGCGGGCCCGAGCCGGAGCCGGAGCTGAGCCTCCGCCCCCGGCCGCGTGGCAACGCAGGCGGGAACAGGCCGGCCCCGCCCCTCCCGAGGGACCCGCAGAGCAGGGGCGAGGCCACACCGGACAAACACCAGGGCTTCCGCGGAGGGTCTCGCGACAAAACCCCAAACCAACACGAGGCAGGCGAGGAGAAACCGCGCCGAGGGGGCGGCGCCAAAGGGGCGCGTGCGCGCAGCGAGTGCCCGGATGCAGCACTGCGACAAAGCGGGCCTCGACACGGCGCGGGAGGGGGGTGGGGACGGCCGCGGAGCCCCGCACTTCCCGGCGCGCCGCACCGCCCCAGCCCCAGGGAGCGTCCCTGTCCAAACCCGCTTTGGCAAGTGGGCTGTGGAAAGAAAGCCCTCAGGACACGCTGGAAAGGCGCCACAGGCGCGAGACAAAATGGCGACGCCGCCCTCCCCTTTCCTCCCTCCCCCTGCTTCCCGCCAGGTCAAGGCGCGATCCCACACGGAACCGCCACCCCCGGCCCCTGAAAAATCAAAAGTCTGGCCGAAGGAACGAGGCCCCGCCGCAGCGCTGTCTCGCGCCCTCACATACCGTTTGAAGCCATGTCCGCGCACGCGCACACAGACTCGGCAACAAAATTCCAAGACGCCGGAGCGCGGCCGCCTCGAGGAGTGAGTGGCCCCGCCTCCTGCGTCGAGCTTAAATATGCCTCCCGCCCACGCCCCCCTCCCCACGGGATGGACCAACTCGGACGACCGGAGGGGGAGCATGGCCCGAGAAAGTAGAGTCAGAGAGCCCAAGGAAAACAAGTCAACCGCAGACTCATTGATTGATGTGTGTGTATATTGTCGCTTTCCGATCGAAGGTGCCGCTCGGCCTCACGACCTGTCTCGTCCCACCTTGACCCCCCCTAAAGGCACAATGGTACGTCCAGACCACCCTCTCGGGGCGGGGCGGGGCGAGGGCCCCCGCGCTGGAGAGCGGAACTGTAGTCAAGGCCGGGAGTCCGGTGGGTGAACCGAAATTCCGGCTCTTGAGGTGTTTGCCCACGGCACTTTCACCGCGGGGCCGCCCAGCCCACTGCCTTCACACCTCCGCGGCCCGGGCCAGAATCGGACGGCCACCGGCGTTCCCCGGACTCAGCTCTGTCCCTAGTCTGAGTTTCCTGCCTTTCCTAGAGCTTTCCGAGGTTTTATATTGTGACGTGTGACCTGAAACCAATGGGCTTTAGCCGAGGGCCTTGGGCCCTTCTAATTCACTAACACGGTTGTATTTCCCTGGAGTGGTTTCAAAACGCACGATTTCCGTCATAATTTTTTAAACTGGGCTCTCCATGTGACCCAGGCTGACCTCGGATTTGTGATCGCTTTCCTCCGACATCCTGCGTTCTGTGGGGTTACGGCCCACCTTTCCCCATAAAACTCTTGTGAAGAAATAAATGTATCTGCCTGTTATAGATGAAATCTGGGCGTGTAACCAATGGTAGAGCGCCTGTCTAGAGTGTGCCGGGCCCTGGGGTGGGGTGGGGTGGGGGGCTGCATTTTAGAGATGGGAAAAGTGAGACCCTAAGACCCTAAGAATATAATTATGAGGCAGTTAAAGGTCCTACCTTCTGACGCAAATCTAAGTCTGTGAGGCTGCAAAATGCTTCTTTTCTTGACTATGTGAATGAGGCTTTTCATTTTTTGTCAGCGCAAGGGCAAAAAATGAAATTCAAATTAACTTACAGCTTGCCAGAAGAAAGCAATGATAAAAATAAAAACACAAAATAGATCATTCCTGGTACAAATGCCATGTGGATTGACCTTCCCAACTTAACCTTTGGCCTGGTTTCCAGATACTCCTTTGTAGATTGGACACTTTTTCTTAGAGAAAGTTCCGCCCTAGACCTACCCACAGCTTCTACTAAGCCCCTGTCAGTCCTGAGGGAAAAAGCAGGGTGTCTGGAGTGTGGGCAAAGGGAAGCCCAGTTCTTGTTCATTAAGTCAAAAACTATTTACTAAGCACCTGCTACACACTGTTCAGGGCATCTCAGATCAATCCATGTCCAAGCAGATGAAACTAACAATAACAAAGCTAGCACTTAATAGTATTTGTTAACATGTTTATTTATATATTAGGTAATACTCAGTAATAGTTAACCCAAAATATCAAGGACTTCTGAGTGTTTTGAGTGAGCTTTACCATTTACAGATGAAGAAATAGGCTTAGAAAAGTTAAAAAGTGGCCAACTATGGTGATGTACACCTGTCATACCATCACTCAGGAGGCTGAAACAGGAGGATCATCAAGGCCAACCTGAGCTACACAGACCCTGACTCAAAAAACAAAAGTGTTGCTCACACCTGTAATCTCAGCACTTGGGAAACTGAGGGAGGAAAATTACCACTTGTTCAAGAGCAACCTAGGCTACGGAGTAACACCCCAACTGAAGGAAAAAAGCCAGACAGATTTCTGTGAGTTTGGGGTCAGCCTGGCCTACATAGTGAGTTGCAGACTATCTACATACAGACACCTGTCTCCAGAAAAAGAAAGGAAGAAAAGATGGAAGGATCAATCAAGAACTGTGTCCAGGGCACCAGAGAAAGTGGTAAAGCTAGGTTGCCAACCCCGGCAGCCTGGCTCTGAGTTCCTGCTCTTAACTATCCACTTCAGCAAATACCCAGTTAAGGAATGCATAACACGTACTTAACATTGAACAGCCACAAGAGGGGACAGAAAAGGACCCAGTGTCTGAACCACAAGACCTTATAACCAGGGGGCTAAGTGTGAGACACAGCAGACTTCATATGAAGTGTACTTTAGTTAAAAGCAGTAAGTGCTGCGGGGTGTGGACGCACAAGCCTTTAATCACTGCACTTGGGAGGCAGAGGCAGGCAGATTCCTATGTGTTCAGGCCAGCTGGGACTACTGGGAGACCCTGTCTCAAAAAGACCCCAAAGAAAAAAATAAGAGAAGGGGAAGAAGGAAGAGAAGGGGGGAAAGAGAAAAGGAAGAAGGGAGGAAGGAAAAGAAAGATTTAGAAACTAAGCTCAATGTTACAATGTAACCCCAGCTACTGGACTTGGACAGGAAGATGGCAAGCTGGATACTAGCCTAGGCTAACTACTAAGAAAGATCATGTCTCAAAATATGAAAATAAAAAAGCCAGGCGTGGTAACACACATATAATCCTAACATTAGGAAGGCGGAAATAAACCTGAGCTACGAGAGACCCTGTCTTCAAAAGGGGAGGTAAGAAGGGTGCTCAGTAAAATGCCTGCCTAGCCTGTACACTTTTGGTTTTAATACCCAGAACCCATAGAACAAGGCATAGTAACGTACACTGTGATACCAGCACTAGGGAGATGGAGGCAGGGGCATCAGAAATTAAAGGTTATCCTCAGCTGCATAGGTGCCTAGTTCAGGCCACCCTGGTATACATGAGACAGAAGGAAGGAAGGTAGATAGCTGGGCATGGTGGTGCATGCTTAGAATCCCAGCACTGGAGAGGCTGAGGTCAGAGGTCTGTTTCAAATTCTGCATTAACCAGAACTACATAGCAAGATCTTTACCAAAAAAAAACAAGAGAAAAGAAGGACCAATGGCTTAATAAGAGGGACCAAGATATTGGCATGGTGGCCAACAAGAATAATGCTATCACTTGGGAGGCTGAGGCAGAAAATTGCTGTGAGTTCAAAGCAAACCTGAGCTACAGAGTGAGACGCTAGTTTAAAAACAGGTATTGGACTGGAGAGATTGCTCAGTGGTTAAGAAAGCTCTGGCTGTTCTTGAAGAAGACCCAGGTTTGAATTCCAGCACCCACAGCACACAAGGCTAAGACCTTCTCTAACTCCAGTTCCAGGGAATCCAATGTCATCTTCTGTCCTCCATGGGCACTACACAACACAGGTACACTTATACACATACAGGTATAACACACTCATACACAGAAAATAAAAATAATAAATGTTTAAATAAAGTTTTTTAAATGTTTTTTTAAAATTATACATGAAGAATACATGCTCTTCATGGTCTCATTATTCATTTAAAATATATAGCTTTGGCCAGGCATTTTGGCGCACGCCTTTAATCCCAGCACTTGGGAGGCAGAGGCAGGCGGATCTCTGTGAGTTCCAGGTCAGCTGGGGCTACAGGGACACCCTGTCTCATAAAGTCAAAATAAAAAAAAAAGAAAGAAAGAAAAGAAATAATAAATAATTGCTTTATTATTTCCTTGGGCAGTGCCCAGCCTCTCAAGCACTGGGATTAAAGACATGCACCACCATGCCTGGTCTAGGAGAACTATCTTAGGCAGTGCTATCCACTTAATGTAATTTTAAACTCTCTAGGCACTACATTTCAGTTTTGGTTTGTTTTGTTTTGTCCTTTAGCAGCATTGGAGATCAAGCTAGAGCCTTCTGAATGTGTCCTACCACTGAGATATAGCACCCCGCACCTCCTCCACCCTAGGAACTACATTTTGAAAACTAAAATGAGTGAAAGTAAGATATTTTGCACCATACATATATTTAAAATCCTCAAAATCTGTGGGTCAAGGAGATACGTGTGGCCAGGCTGCATGCAAGAATTCACAGAAAGGAGGGTAAGGGAAAGGTGTGCATTGTAATAATTTTATAATTTATAATTTTACTCTAAGGCTTTTAGCTGAGTAGAAATCAGATAACTGACCAGTGAGATGGCTCAGCAGGTAAAGGCACATCAAGCCTGAGGACCTGAGTTGGGTTCCTGGGACCCATATGGTGGAAAGAGACAAAAAACTGATTTCCCAGACTTGTCCTCTAACCTCCACTCACATACATGCTGGGCCATGTGTGTGTACCACCTCCCACATACACTAAATAAATAATAAATAAAATGTTGAGGGAGGGAGGGAGGAAGGAAGGGAAGAAGAAAGAGAAAAAGAAAGAAAGAAAGAGAGAAAGAAAAGAAAGAGAAAGAAAGAAAGAAGGAAGGAAAGAAAGAAAGAAAGAAAGAAAGAAAGAAAGAAAGAAAGAAAAAGAAAGAAAGAAGAGAAAGAAAGAGAGAGAAAGAAATAGATAAATCAGAGAATTCAGGCTTGGGCTATGGCAGTGTTGGCACAGTCCTCACTGCACCTGAGTTTGGATCCCCACCACTGTAAAAGCTGGTGGAGCGCTTCTGTAACCTCAGCACTGTGCAGGTAGGGGGAGTGGCAGAGACCTCAAAGCTCACTGGCTTGCCAGCCTAGCCAATAAGTGAACACCAGGTTCAGTGAGAGAACCTCTTTCAAAAAATAAGGTACATAGAGTCTGCAGAGCTGGCTCAGCAGTTAAGAGCACTGGCTGCTCTTGCAGAGGACCTGGGTTTGGTTCCCAGGACAGCTAACAACTGTCCCTAACTCCAGTTCCAGGGGGTCTGAAGCCCAATTCTGGTCTCTGCAGGCATTACACACATGGGTACACATATACATGTAGGCAAGACATTCATACACATAAAGTAAAAATAAATAAATGCAAAAAAATTATTTTAAAAATACAAGGCAGAGATTCTCAGTGGTTAACCACTTAAAGGCATGGCTCAGTGAACCTGAGTCCTCTGCAAGAGCAGCTAGTACTCTAGATGACTCAGTTGGTACAGTGATGGCTTGGTGGTTCACAAAGCTTCCTGCTCTTCCTGAGGACCTGAGTTCAGTTCCCAGTACCCACATCAGGCAACTCACAACTGCCTGTAACTCTAGCTCC